CCTTGGAGAGGAAACACATGGCAAGATCATGGACATTACAGGGATTTGAGAATAAATGGGCCAGAATCAGAACTTGAAATAAAGTCAGCTCTCTTTCCCTTCCTCCTCCTGACTACCATCTTCTACCTCTCTGTGCCTTGGTTTTATTCTGTCTGAATGCACACTAACTTCTTCCACTAGACTAGGATTCACAATCTTAAGTATAAAATGCTTCATATCATAGTTTCTATCCTCAACATAGGTTAACTTGTTCCCCTTTCAAGAAGGAAACCCCAGGGAAATAAACTGGCTGGATGAGATTCCGATGTTTGCCCTTCCTGTCAGGCACTGAATTCTGTCCCCTGGAGCCCGCTTCCTCTTGCATTTGCATAATTGCAGCAAGAAGAGCCCAGTTACCAAAGACTGGAGATTCTTCTTCCCTAGAAGGAGGTTGATCAGCATGGGCAAAACATGCAAGACAGACAAAAGACAAAACAGGTAATTCATGAGAACCAGAAGCTTCTGTCAATAGGTAGCTGTCTTTATTATTAGTGTTATTATAACAAAGTGGAAATGAGAATTTAGGCCAACCAATGTTTTTGGTTTTTTTGTTATTTGTTTATTTATTTATTTTACTTTTATTGATTCTTTGTGGATTTCACATCATGTATTCCAATCCTGATTTTCTCCCTGTCCTCTTGTATCCCCCTCTGCCCTTGAAACCTCCCTAAAAATAAAACCAAATTTAAAAGAAAACCAAACAAAACAAACAAACAACAAAAAAAGAAAGAAAAGAAGGCGAATCTTGTGGGCCAGCTCTACTATATTGCCCAGGAAAGGTGCCAGGCCCTCTCTCCCTGTTGCTATAAGGAGCATAAGTGGGGTGGGGGGATGGGAGGGTGTCAGCTCTCCTGCTCTCATGCCCTCAGGGCTAGTTCACTTGTGACTCTGATGACAGGGTCAGCTTTAGTCTACTGCCCTGGTGGGATTCAGGGCCTAGCTCTAATGTGAGCTATAGCTGGTGTAGGTCAGGGCTAGTTCTCTTACTCTCATTACCCAGGGGGCAGCTCATCTGCCTCAGGTAACAAGGGGTGGAAGAGAGAGGGTATCTTTTCTTCACCCACGCCACCATATGACAGATAGGGTGGGAGGTCAGCTCTCCTGCTCTCATGTCCTCAGGGTCAGCTCACCTATGTCCCGGACCCCAGGGTCATCTCTAATGTGCTTCCCACATTGAGGTGCATGTTTATGGTGAGGGGAGGGGCCATGTTTCCCAATTCAGGGGCCCTGAGACATAGGGCCAGCTTGCCTACTGCTTTATCGAGGGAAGGGCAAGACCAATTATCACAGGACCAGTGAAGGACTGGGCTGGCTCAGCACAGCATGGTTCCAGTTACCCCAGTGCTAACTGGGCCATGGACATCACCACAGACCTCAGCTGCAGCAAGACCACATGGCTCTTGGCAGCACCTTGGGCCAGGATGCCACTAAAGCCCCGGTGGCAGCAAAGGCCCCTTGGATTGGCACAGCCCTGGATGCAACATGGCCCCCATGGCTCTAGGCCAACCAATGTTTACAACTCTAAAACATGCTTATAGTTGTCCAAATAATGTTTTAAGTTTTAACTAAACTAAAACTTAATAAGTCATACACGTTTTAAATGTACTACTTGAAATATTCTGACAATTATATTCTTGAAATAACTATAATCTTGAAACCTGTCCATCACCTCCAAGCTTCCTCCTGGCTCTCTACAAACTCCCACATAGCTCTACCCATCTCCCTTTTAATCTCATATGACCAATGCCTAAATGACTGACTTTCTATTCCTATAAGATAGTTCTCAGTTTCTAGGATTTTGTATAAGTGGAAGCATACTATATGTATCTATTCTTATATATTCAGATTAGTTATTTTCAGGTTCCTCCACATTGTCATACACATAAGAAGTACATTATCTTTTACTGATGAGTAGAATTTCATTACAGACTGAGTTGTGGTCCATAGAATTCCTAGGATAGAGCTCTTGAATCCAGTATACAGACTTGTGACTATATTTGGAGATAATGTCTTCAATGAGACAATTAAGGTAACAAGAGGACATTAGGGTAAAATCCTAATCCAATCTGACTAGTGACCTCATAGGATGAACATTAATAATGTAGGCACCATGAAAAGACCTTGAGAGGACACAAGGCATCAGCAAGCCAAGAAGAGCAGCTAGAACAAAGAAAAACAGTTGATAGCTTGATTTCAAGATTCTAGCCTCCAATATTGTTAGCCACTTATTTTGTTATGGCAGCCCTAGCAAACTGTTGCATATAGATTCACCATGAAATGCTTATTCATGGCCCTGTTACGGGATAGTTGATTGCTTCCAGCTCAGCACTATTACAGATGAAGCTGTTAAGACAATCCATGAGTGAATCTCATGTACTTTTAAGCTGTCATCCCATTTGGGTAAACACTTAGAATTTACGGCTCAATCACACAATAGGTGGTGTATCATAAGAAACTGTCAACTTTCAAAACATCATATGATTTTCTATTCTGACCAGTAATGTGAGCATTCTAGTTGTTCCATACTCTCAACAAACCTTAGTGCCCATAATGTTGTGTGTCTTCCCTGTAGAGACAAGAAAGAAACATTGGTTCACCCAAAGCAGGAAGATTATAGATCAAAGAAAGGCTCTATGAAGTCCAGATTGTGAAATAATTTATGTGGGTTAATTACAGGAGCAGAAATGACTGATGGGCAGCTACACAATCAAAAAGCCATCATTCTGTCTGCTATATACAGTAGAATCACAAGCAGGAGGGAATAGTCAGCAGGACCTTGAGTAAGAGTTTTGTGATGCACCCCTTTCTTCCATAAGAGAATGATAACAGCCTCATTCTCATAGCCTTTACTATCTACTGATGGCTGATCTTCATTGCCAAGTTGACTAGACTTGGAATCACCTAAGATACAACCTCTGAGAATATGTAAGAGAGGCTTAACTAAGGAGGAGAGAACACATATAGAATGTGGGGAGCATCATCTCATTGCTAAAGTTCTATGCTGAATAAAAAAGGAAAGGAGGACATGATATGAGTACAGCCTTTTCTTCCTCTGCTTCCTGCCTGTGGACACAATGTAGAGAGCTTCCTTCATGCTCTTATCTCTGTGTCTTCCCTTCCTTAATGGATTAAGCCAAAGTAAAGTTTTCCTTTCTCTCTTAGTTTCTGTGGTAAAATATTCTAACAAAAGCTACCTAAGGGAAAAAGAACTTATTTTCACTCAATTCCAGGATATAATCCATAATGACTGGGAAGTCAAGGCATCATGAGCATCTTGTCACATTACCTCTCTGGTCAGAAGAAGGGCAATGAATGTGTACATGCTACTGATCAATTCCTATTTTCTACAAATACAGTCTAAGTCCTGCCCACAATTAAGTTGAGTTTTCCCACATCAAGAAAATCTCCCACAGGCCTACGCAGAGGCTCATCTCCCAGGAAATTCCAGATTTTTTCAAGTTGACAATTAACACTAATAATCACAGTCAGTTTTATGAGCATCAAGAAAAGAAACTAATATAGAAATTAGTACTAGGAGTGGAGTCATCACTGACATGTTACTTGTCATTCAAAGACCTTCAGAATTGGTTTGGAGGAGGAATATTTGGAGTTGCATAGTAGAGAAGGCCTATAATGCTGTAATTGGAGCTTCATGAGCCATTTTGGTGGGAGACTAGATGACCAGAGTGCTATAAGTAAAGCCAACATTGAAGGCTGGGATCATGAAATTTCTGAGAGAACATGGACTCTGTTGGGAATTAGGCTGGAAGCCACCCATATTTCACTATGGCAAAGAACCTTACTGCATTTTGCCTGTGTGATGAGAGTTTAAATTAGGCTTAATGCAAAAGTGATGGGATAATTCATTTGCTAGAGGAAATTTCAAGACAATGTAGCTGTGGCATGGCTGATATTTACCACTATTTATCATGTTGACACTGAGAGAGAGCAGAAAAATGAAAATGTGCTTTCTGATAAGGAAATAAACATGAGAGACTATAAATTTGCAAAGTGAGTGTGGAGAAAGCAACTCTGATTGTTAAAGAGATCAGCACCATTAAAATAAAATATGATGCTCTGCTCTCAGACAATAGAAAAAATTACTGAGGGAAAGGCTTAATTTGTGAAAACGTAAATTCATTTAAAAAGAGAGTCTGATCCGAGAATCCCCCTAAAAACAACCTAAGGAAGTGTTTTCCCAGAGGCCCTAAGAGCTGTGCCAGAAAGGGCCAAACTACATCTGAGGCTGGGACATATTTCTTAGAGATATTAAAATACAAGAGTTATGGGATTATGGAGGTTCCCACCAAAGTGCCAGAAAGCTACTAAAGCTAGGCAATGAGTGATAGGGTCAGATTCCTATGTGATAGGGTAGGTCCTGAGAGATTATTGCATAAAGCTAGCAGAGTAAAGTCTATGTTGCAATAGAGAATCCAGGATGTTGAAAATTCCAGAGCCATGGTTCATTCACTAAGGAAAGATGCAGACACAGAGTGGAACTGACCCAGTAGGATGAGACAGCAGATGTAGAGAGTCAGGGCTTCTCAAGGCCAGATGAGTCTATCATGAGCATCAGATGCCAGACATTGTAGAATTTTCCCTGTTGAGTTTTGGTTCTGTTTGGTCCAGTCTTTCCTGCTCTTCCTATGATATCTCTCTTTTAGAATTGGAAATACACTTTAGAATGGGAAATAGCTTTGCTTGTTTATTTGAGGTTTTTTATTTTATTCTTTTTAGAGTGCCATATTTAAGAAATGGGCTTAAGGGCCAGATGGGATGGCTCACACCTTTAATCCCAGTACTTGGTAGTCAGAAGCAGGCAGATCTCTGTGAGTTCAAGCCCAGCCTGGTCTACCGAGTGAGTTCCAAGCCAGTGTTACACAGAGAAACCCTGTCTCAAAAAAAAAAAAAAAGAAAGAAAGAAAGAAAGAAAGAAAAAAAGACAAAAAAATCAGAATCTTGGGGTCTAAAGAATGCTTTTTTGTTTACAACATACCCAAGAAGAATATGGGGCCACTGTAATGAGGGGCACAGCACTATGTCCTCTCTGTAAGTAAATCCCCTACATGTGAAAAGAAGGAAAGAGACAGAGAGAGAGAGAGAGAGAGAGAGAGAGAGAGAGAGAGAGAGAGAAAGGAAGGAAGGAAGGAAGGAAGGAAGAAAGAAAGAAAGAAAGAAAGAAAGAAAGAAAGAAAGAAAGAAAGAAAGAAAGAAAGAAAGAAAGAGGCTTGAGTCTTAAAAAAAGACTTGATACTTTTGGGTTTTAAACACTGGACTTGTGGTACTCTTATAGACAAATTAAATGCAATTTATATTGTGAGATGACAATGAGCCTTTGAGGATCATAAGTCAAATGTTATGGCTTACAGGCGATATGTTTGAGTCTTAGGTTGACCAGAAGTATACTTGTGATGAACAGTCTTCATTATCAACTTAACTGGATTTGGAATCACTAAGGAGACAAACTTTATGTGTGTATCTGAGGGTGTTCAATATGATAAATTCATGGGAGTCTGGTTAAGGAGCATTAAGGAAATTTATTAGGGTAAATTTAAGAAATATACTTATAAATACAGAACAGAGTAGACAACTGAAGTCATCCTCTGATCTGACTGGGAATGAATCCACATGGCAGTTCGATCACACCAGGATACAGTCAGCAGGAAGAAGGGACTGGTAACCCTTCTCCCTACCTTTTAAGAGGTCACATACAATGGCAAGATGCACCTCCTCCTTCAGGCCCTATAGCCCAAGGTTATGGGCAGAGCAAATACCACTACATTTCCTCTTTTTGTCTACATAAGAAGGTTCTAAACTTAATTCAAACTAAATACAATAAGAATGATTATCAAGTATTTTCCAGTAAAAACAAAGGGTAATAACATAAACAAAAAATGGAACTATAACCAAAAAGGACAACATCAAACAAGACATGCTAAGTGTCCAGAAATGTCCAGATCATAGGTAAATGGCATGTTACAGAGATTACTCCAATAGCTGTCCTATCCTGAAGATTCTAACTCGAGTACTTAATATGTTCTAGCTAAGATACAAGAAGATTGTAACTATCTAGTCTTCAACTCCATCAAATACTTGAGAAGGAACATAATAATACCTGAGAAAATAGAAAATGCAAGCAAGCAATTTCTGAAAATCTTGACAGAGACAGCTGGCAGCCTGGACAGTCACCTAAAGTTTCTCAGCATTGTTGGGGCATCCAATTTGGCTACAGGTATAGAGTGTCTAACAGACCATTTTTCAGAAGCATAAATTTTGAAAGAACATCTTACCCTGTCTTGACAAGGTTCAGTAGTCGCTTTTCCTTGTATCCTACTCATCTGGAAAGGACAGTGTTCATACTACCAGCAGTCAAGGCAAGGGCAGTTCTTTGCCCAGCAGCCCATTTTGTGCCAAGAAGAAGACAAACTTCCAAAGAGAAACATCTTAGAAGTCCAACATTTTCTCAGGATCAGATCAGTGATGCCAGGAGCGATTGTGTCTCACATCAACAGAATTGCAAGTTATGAAAACAATTGAATGCCATATTCTCTAGGTCTATGAAGTGTTTGAAGATTATCTACCCATCTGCCATATGTTTCCATAAATCTGGACAACCTAACTAACGTAACTATAGAAATGACAAGCATGGGTGATTATAGTTCTGTAAGTCTTATCTACCTAAATAACCTAAGGACTAAGGCTAAACATTAATAAGACAAATAGTCTGTAAGAAGATGTACAGGACAATGACCTAAAATAATGTGACAATACACAATGTCTTAAACAGAGGAAGAAATGTATAGTGCAATATGCAATATGACAATATCCTTAATATGTATCAATATACAAAATATCCTAAACAGAGGTAAAACATACATACAATATGACAAATATAATTTTACATTTGTGTCAATATATAAAATATTTCAAACAGGAGTAGAAATATATGTACAATACAACAAACATAGTTTTGTATTTGTACCAATATACAAGTTATCTCAAATAAGAATATAAGAATAGTTTATATTTGTATCAAATATACAAGAATCTCTATCAGTGCAAATTATCAAAGTCTGATAGTTTGCTAAATCAATTTACTAGTAGATACAATAATCTACCTTAATATACCATACCTATCCATTCCCCTTTTTCTTTTCTAAATGAGAATACTGAGTCTAAATTTTATAGTTCCACCCCCAACCTTAAAACCATCTATCCACAACCCTGAGAAAAATGAAACCTTTGGGAAAGGGTCATCATTTTCTTAGAATTGCTTCCTGCTGTTTAGTATCTCCATGGGGTCCTGTAAGGAAGCTTATTAGTTATGTCTCAATGGGACTACCTGTAGAGCCTACCATCAGTGTCAGACTAATGGATAAGGTCGTCTGAGATTCTGTCTAGAAGTATAGTGTGATGGACCATCTCATCTTGGAACTGTCCTGAAGAACTACCAATTCAAGGCTGATCAATGAGTGATGTTATTGGGTACAATGGCATCTTTCTGGACTGAGTAGAGTCTTGTTGTAGGGCCCCATCTTCCTTCTGGAGACTTCAGAGATTGCTATCAGAAAGACTTATTTTTCACTGTGGAAAACTTGAACATTATTAATATCAAAATGGAAAGTTTGAATCTTAAGTTAACATGACATGTGAGGAAGGATTCTGAGAAATCAAGAATAATCATAGAAATAGAATCTTGAAAAGAATGATCCCTAGATTATTGGTTTTCTTCTGTCCCATGCTAGTTGGCTCTTCTGATATGAGACAGAATCTCCTATTTTTTTTCTTTTAGCAACATGCTTGGGTTTACAGAAGGAGAAAGCTATGTTCCAACTCCAAAGCCAGCTTGATCTACAAATGGGGATGGGGATCACAACTATTCTAGAGTTAAAGAGATATTAATGTTAGGCAGTGAGATATTGCCCTGTAGAGTATATAGGTCCTTCTTTATGTGGTAGACATCTAGGTGGCATAAGAAGGCCTTATGATTTCTTGAAGATGGGTATTTCTATTATCCTGTAAAGACAAGAAACAGAATCTTGCTGCAACCCTTGTTTGTTGAGTTTTTCTTACAACTTGTATATTTGTCACATCAGTGGATTAGCAATTACTCCTCCTCATCAAGGGGTTCCTCCTGTTCAAAGCAAATTTTTATTTTTATTTTTTGGGGGATTCATAGCTTTTCTTCTCATGGAGAAACAAAAGCAAAACCCCTTCCCCAATGTACAATGTGTCCTGGTTTCCATTCTAAGTCAACACATCTTTGAAGTAAACAGGTTGGTTTAGCTCAGGAATTTTTTCGGTTATCCAATGTCTCTTCACAACTGTTGTCTTTTTCTCATCAGCATTGAGAAAATTCAAGGTTAATAAGGCATTATGTAATATATTTCCAGGAGTCATTGTTACCTCTTTTGGTTTATTTAGCATATCCTTTAGTTCAGTTGGATTTTCTATGACTGCTTGGCCTGTGGGATTGTGTGGTATACCTGTAACATACTTTACATTGTAATAAACAAAAAACAGTTGCATTTTATTTGAAACATATGCTGGAGCATTGTCAGTCTTAATTTGTACAGGTATTCCCATGATGGCCACAACATCTAGTAGGTGTGTAATCACAGAGTCAGCCTTTTCAGAACTCATAGGAGTTGCCCATTGAAATCCTGAATAGGTGTCAATGGTATGATGTACATATTTTAATCTTCCAAATTCTGCAAAACGAAACATATCAATCTGCAAAATTTTATTTTTTGTATACTTTTAGGATTACTTCCTACAGGTAATGGAGTTTGGTTATAGAAGAAACAAGTAGGACTTTTTGTTTTACAATTTTCTTGGCTTATTGCCAAGCAATGGAAAAGTTTTTTTTCAAACCTTTTCTATTTACATGGTGTTTCTTATGAAATTCTGAGGCTTCCAGCACATTACCTATTAATATTTTATCAATCTCATCATTACCTTGTGCTAGAGGATTTGGCAGACCAGTATGAGCTCTGATGTGACACACACACACACACACACACACACACACTATATATATATATATATATATATATATATATATATATATATATATATATATATGATTTCCTGTAACTGTATAAATAGTGAAGTTAATTCTGTTTATCAGGAATAAATTCAGCAGTTTCAATATGCAAATCAACTTTCTCTGCATATCGAGAGTCAGTTACTATATTGACAAGTTCTGTGAAGTTCATTAATACCAGAGGAATGGCATATAGTTCTGACTTTTGTATGGAATTGTAAGGGCTTTGAACCACTTTACTTAACTCTCCTGGTTTATATCCTGCCTTTCCTAATTTATTTGAATCAGTATAGAATGTAGGGACTCCAGAGATTGGTTTTTGCCACACAGTGTGAGGAAGGACCCATTCAGTTCTCTTTATGAATTCTATTCTCTGGCTTTGGGGATAATAATTCTTAATCTCTCCCAAAAAGTTACTGCAGGCTCTTTGCCAGTATTTATTATCTTTCAATAAAGAGGAAATTTTCTCATTACTTAAAGGTACTACAATTTCTGCTAGGTCCATTCCTGTCAATTAACTAAGTCTTAATTTTCCTTTTAGAATCAAATCGGAGATCTTGTCTACATAAGTCATTTACTTCTTACTCAGCTTACATGGTAGAAATATATCCATTCCAATGTAATATCATCCCTCTGCATCAAAATCCCTGTGGGTGAGTGTCTGAAGGGTAATATGACCAGAATGCAATTATGTTCTGGATTCACATGATCCACGTGTACCTCTTATATTTTTCTTTTCTACTAGAGGCAATTTTCCCCTCAGGTTCAGCTGATAATTCTTTTGGACTATTAAAGGCCTTGTCCCCTTTTAGGGTGTTGGCCAAATTTACTAGTCCATCTTTAAGTCACTAAGTCTACAATCAATCTCTGCTTTTGGGATCTAGTTTTTGGTTGGTCTATCTTATATTCTAAGTAATTAATACAATTTCCTCTTTGTATTTTTTCAGGAGCAATTTGTAATCCCCAATGAGGCAAAACTTTCTTCACTTCTTCAAACATATTTTCTTAGGTACCTAACTTTGGA